TTCCCACAACCCCTTCTCAGCTTCAATCATTTCCTAGAGCGGCTCACGGGACTCAGGAAAACCGTTTACTTACTGGATCGCCGGCTTAGAACAGAAGGATAACACTCAGGAACCGCCAGATGGAAGAGATGCTCTGGGCAAGGATGTGGGAGGGGCCCAGCGGCACGCCCTCACCCAGCGCCTCCCCGTGTCCGCCAGTCCCTTACAGCAGGGCTTGGATGGAGGCTACACTAGGTAGGTGTATGTAGAGCTCGGGAAGTATGTCTCAGCGCTGCGGCTGATGCAATGGTGTGAGCACACTCCACCATGACATCCTTCCTTCGCACACCAGGAAGTAGCAATGCCCGCCTGAATGAACTCCTTGAGCCACGTGCACAGTACCCCAGCCTTTCAGCCATTGGTCGCCTGTAGCAACGTGTCTCCCTCTGATTGGTCCCCTCATGCTATATATACCCCTGTAGTTCCACAATAAAACGGATCTGCGTCACTGAACCTGGTCTCCAAAATCGTGCATGCAGACGCCCTAGCGCGTTGGGGCTCCGTCATCCTCACCCCTGAGGGACCCCGTGCTTCAGGTGGGCACCATTGATTCCATCATTGGCCATTAGTGACTGAGAACCTCCAGCCCTCTTAACACAGGGCTGCCTCCCCTGGCTCTGAGCCCGCATTACCTCATTAGCACAATTAAGGTATGATTGGAAAGGGTTTATTATGGGGCAGGGGGTGGGGGGGAACCTGCTCTCACCCAATCACTCAGGAAATTACAAGGGTTATAGGAGCTCTGTGCCAGGAACTGGGGAAGAAGACCAAATATGCATTTCTTTTATTTATTTATTTTTATTTCAGAGAGAGAGAGAGAGAGATAGAAACATCAATGATGAGAGAGAATCATTGATTGGCTGTCTCCTGCACGCCCCCTACTATGGATCGAGCCCGCAACCCTGGCATGTGCCCTTGACCATAATCGAACCTGGGACGCTTCAGTCTGCAGGCCGATGCTCTATCCCTGTGGTTGGCCACTGCGGCTCGCGAGCCACATGTGGCTCTTTGACCCCATGAGTGTGGCTCTTCCTAAGCCTTAGGAGTACAGTAATTAAGTTAACCGTTTGACTGCTAAGGAGCGCTATGGTGCTCTTCTTATTTAAAACAAATTTATGTAAACAATTGGTATTTTTTAATTTTTGTTGTTGCAAAGCAATACAAGTGAGTTTATTGTATAAAAAGTGTTTTACATTTTTTCCCATACACGCGCAATTAGTGCCGCAGTTTTGGCATATGTCCGAAAAAATACGTTAGCATCCAAACGGTTAATAACAATGTACCTACCTACATAGTTTAAGTTTAAAAAATGTGGCTCTTAAAAGAAATTTCAATCGTCATATTGTTGATATTTGGCTCTGTTGACTAATGAGTTTGTCAACCACTGCCTATCCAATGATCCAAATCAGCTAAGGCAAAATATGCATTTCTTATTCTATCACAATGAAGTGTGGGGGGAATGTATGGGGGAGGGGTGTGAGAGAGTGTGCAGGGAAGGTGGGGAAGGTGCTAAAATCCAGCTTAGAAGCCCACCTAGTTAGGGGAGCACAAACAGCACTTGACAAACATTCCAAGAGGTTCCAGATCACTTTCGTTCAATATTATTGAGGTGCCAACAAGGTGTGCTAAGTGCTGGGCGGGGGGACATTGGGACTTGGACCGGAACCAGGGGTGAGAGCCTCTCTGGTCCAAACCCACCTTAAATCTCTCTAATGAGCCAGGAAACCATCCCTTAGGACACATCCAGCGCAGTGAAGAGGTGGGTTGGAAGGTTGCACACATCCCACCCCCACGCTCTGTGGGCCTGGCTGAGAGATTCCAGCAAACCTGAGGAGCGGAGAAGCAGGCAGCCTTGTTCGGACTCCTTAGGGATCAAAACGGCGGGCAGTGGGAATAGCCAGTCAAGTCTGCAATGCCTGCGAAGCCAGGTCTATGGCAGGTCATGTCATTTACAGGAACATAAAAACTGAACACACAGAATAGCCTTGAGAGAAGAAACCAAGATGTCAGCATAGGTAAACACCGGAAATTGCTGCTTCGCACAACCACTTCAAAAATACAACTAAAAGATAAAACAGACATCATCTAGAACCACAGGAAGGCTGGCTGCGCGGA